GAAGGATTTACAATTGCTGTGGACCAGTAAGGGGCGTTTTTATTGTCCTTATTCTGTCCCTGTTTGTGGGAGGGAGGTACTTTAACCTGGGTTTTTGTGGGGTTTCTTTGGTGGGTTTGTTGTTGTTTTGTTTTAGTTTGTCACTGACCGAGGAGATGCCACACCAAGACGTGCTGTGGAGAATCGCACGTCGCTGGGAGGTCCTGAACTCTGAGCTGTGCAGCCTGTGTGGGGCTGAGGGTCTCTACGTGGGAAGACAGTAAAAGGATGGCGGGGTGTCCGGAATTTCAGGCTGTGATGATTCACACACCTGTTCCTGTGTCTCCTCGGGCGCTCACAGGCCTCCCTTGCCGTCAGGTGTGGCTGGGTGAGTGATTTCTGGGAGTGGAGTGAAGTCTAAAGGCATGCTCACCACCTCACGCACAAATGCCTCCAAGATCCTGCTTCTTGTGTTTGGCCTTGTGATGTTGAGGCTCATGGCAATCTTGGAAGCTTGATGTCAAAGTTGATGGTGGAGCCCCTGTCACCTTGGTTCCCTGCATGGAGCACAGCCCCACCACCTGGCACAGAGTAGGGTCTCAATGCACCTTTGAATGACTGCAGTGGAGGTTGGGCAAAGCTTAGGGGGCATTGGTCAGGTAAAGCATGGGAAGAGTGCTGTCAGCAGAGGGAACAGCGTGTACAAAGGCCCTGAGGACCAGAGGAAGGTCAAAGATAAGCTAGAGACTGAGCACATTTAGAGTATCAGAATTCCCAGTCTTGCTTCCATCAGGTACGCAGAGGTGGGTTAGCGTGTGGCCTAAGGGACCCAGAGCATGTGTAGGAATCCAGGATCGGGGACTGTAAGGCTGGGGGAGTCTGTACTGGCGCATGTTCCAATGCACTGTTGGTCACGGTCATACAAATAAGAAGGAGGCAGCTCAAACAAAGTGGAGAGATGCAACAGGAAGTGCGTGTATACAGGGCTAGTCGGGGAGGGCAGCGGGAAACTTGGGTTCTCGTCTCCATTTCTTTTCTTTTTTTCTTTTGGGGTGTGATTGTTTTGAAAAATTACTTAACCTACCTTTTGAAGTATTTGTCACGATCAAAGATTGTTATCCTGGTTCTCACTGGAAGTCTATGTATACTCATGTGCTTACTGCTTTCACGGACATGTGACGGAAGCAAGCTTTTTCTTTAATAACAGTCAAAATAATACTTACAACTTTCAAACTGCAGTTGGCTATTTCAGTGCAAATAGCTTTAAGAGACGAAATAAAGTTAAAGGTAAGGGGATCAGTTTCCTTCCAGAAGCTTATAAGGAGTCGAACTTTAACATTTCGCAAAACTAGCGCTTCTCTGATTTTCCCATCCAAGTCCGGCCAGTAAGTCCTGTAGAAATAATTTCCATGTGGATAAAAAGAAAGAAAGTAAGTTAGTTTTGGAAAATAAATTTACTAGACTTCAGAGAACATTGATATTAATCTGATCATTACTTTGTTCTATAATATGTAAATAACCTGACAGGATAGTTTGAAAAAAATACAAGCCTGCTGGGTTAGGGCACCGAGAGGGACAGTGCTTTATGGAGACCTGGCCCTGCCTTAGACGGGGCGCTCTCATCACCAGGTTTCAGGCTGGGTGGGCATCGGGTGCAGACTGACCGCCACCACGTGCCACCCTCACTGCACCTCCAGCCTTACCTGTGCTCCAAGAACCAACTTTCCAACAGAGTTCCCATTAAGAGCCTTGAGTACCTGCTCTGTCCCCAAATACTGCTCAAACCTCTCTTCTTTGGTACCTGTCCCCCCAAACGAGCTTCCGCTCTGGTTACCCAACCTTTCCCACTCTTATTGCCAGACTGTCTTCTTCTCTCCTGACCAACCCCCCCCCCCCCCCTGCGCTGGGCCCTTGGAATCTTCCAGCATCAGGCAGACAAGTTCCCCCTACAGGCCCAGCCTCTTCCCTGAATCCTTAACCTTTTAATATAATCATGTTCTGACACTTCACCAAGATCACAGCTTCCCCTAACGCTCTGCTGTGTATGTTTTACAACAATCTGCCCACTTACTTTAGCATGTGGGGTCAGCCTCCCTGACCCCCCCTCCCCAACCAACACACACCACGTCACTTCCAGAACTATTGCTTAATTCTCATGTTAAAAACAAACAAAACAGCAAACTTTCCATCCTAAAGACAAACCTCAAATCGCTCTCTCTCCCCTCAGCCCTGTCATTTGTAAACCTGTTTACTTATTGAAGTCTTCCCCGAATTCTGGGCCAACTCATTGTTTGGACGAATGATACATTATTGAAAACCTCGGCCCATCAGTTCTGTAATCATTGCACTTCCGAAGGCCTCCTCTATATGGCACCCTGGCCTCCTGTCCTTCCAGTCCCCCACTCTATTATAAGCCTTCTCAAGGTCAGCAGTGCATTCCCAACTGCCACATCTAATGGACATCACTCACTTCTTATTTTACTGTTGGGCTAGGTTATGCGTGGTTCTGTTGGTGGTTCCTTTCTTCTTGAAGATTGATTCCACTGGCTTCTCTGACTCTAACTGCTGCTGGCCTATCCCTTATCTCTCAGGCTGTTTACTTGGGGTAGGGTTTTTTTCCCCTAAATATCAATGTTCCCTTAGGATTCTATCATCCTCTCTACATGTTACCGCCTAGGTGGCTTCATTTACACACTTGGTTTTAACAGTACTCTTTAGTCTGAAGTGTTCCAAATTCTCATTGCCTGGTTAACCCTCTCCAGACTTCATTCTGGATCCTGATAATCAGATCTTTACAGGTTTAGAAATCTGGATTTTTGTTTTTTAAAGACTTTATTGGGGAATTGGGGGAAGGGAACAGCGTTGGGGAATTGGGGAAGGGGAACAGACAAGTTGCTGTCCTTTTGTTCTTCAGTCTAGTTGTGGAGGACGTCGCTTCACTGGCCCATGTNATGCTGCCTGGGTCACCTTATTTCCTCAGTTCCTGTCTTCTACAAAATCTGCGTCCTTTGGAGCGTTCACTTACAGCCTTTGAGGTCGCTTCAAACTGATAATAACCTGTGAACGTTCTTAAGTCAAAGGGGAGGCCACGTGAGTAGAGGCTTCCCACCACTCGTCACAGCCAGCCGTCACCTTGCTTGGACATCCTGTCACAACACATGTCCACACACATGACTGTTTTTTTGGGGGAAAGATATTCCTGTAGACTCAAGATGGATTTGCAAAAGAATAAAAAATATATATCCTAATTTAAGTCAGGGATGGTGTCATAGCTTGAGGCTTTTCTTAGAAACCATTTGCTCTAGACTCGGAGATGGCCCGAAAGAGGGGAACAGCTTTATCTGGGGCACTAAAAGGACAGCGGAAATCACTTGGTCTTCACTGACTTAGTTAGATTCCTAATATCCTGTAGGTGACAGCAAAGACATTTCGAAAGTGATTTGTCAATTTATTAAAAGATAAAAACCAAGCCGACTGAGACAACTTTGTGAGTTGCAGTGTCCTTCCGTGAGTCCCCTCATGGATACAAACCCACACAGTGGAGCCCACTCCTCTGAGGACAGAGGGGTCCTGCTTCCATCCCGGGCCACTGCTCTATCAGTGCTCCAATCTCCTGAAGTTGTGCTTTGTGCAAAGTTCCAACAGCCGCTTTTCTTGAAAAAGCTCCTCACCCACCTGTATTGTAGATGTTGGGGCCATAAGCTGATGTGCCACCTAAGCTTATCTCGATGCTTCGAAATGTAAGGCTTGCCTTAAATGAAGATCGGGCTTCAGTTTTATTAAATGCCCAACGTTGAACTGTTAACGTTTGCTTTTTTCAAGTCATGTGATTATCAGTGTTGGAAAGATGAAGCTGAATAAGTACTGTCGAGGTTAAAGTGATGGATTCTACTTTCCTTGTAACTTCTTGCAAGTCCTAGGAGAGCACTTAACATTTCACATGGGAGTTTCCCCTGACTGCACCTTGGTGGCAGGTGTGTCGTGGGTTCAGGAGGCAGTGGGTGGGCAGGGACCACTGAGCTGGCCTGAGAGGAAGGTGGGAGGGGAGATAGGAGCATAGACACCAAGTCCATACACAGCACACACCTTCCTCTCTGTCTCTGCTTTATTATGTCTTTTTTTATTTTCTACATTCTGATGCTGTGACGTCTGGGGCCTCGCTGGGCTTGGAGGGCTGCCCCTCCCACGGTCAGCTAATTGCTGGAGACAGCAGACAACATGCCTGTGAGCGCACCTTGTGTCTGCCAACCAACCAATCCGTACTCTGACTCACGTCCTTTATCAGTGCCCACACTCTGGGCCATACCCACCTGCTCTGGTCACCCCAGGGCCACGTGCCAGGCACCCAGGGACAGCCCTAGGCCCAGAGCCCGCTGAAATCATTCAGAACAGCAACCCTAAATCACTCACTCTGCCTCGCCTGTTCCTTCCCATGGAAACCACAACAAACGCTCTAGTCTGTTTTCCCCTCACTCCTTCTGCCCCCTGGATGAACCAGCTCTTTCCCATATGCCGCATGGTCCTCCAGGGAAGGGCACGCCCCCTTCTCTTGAGATCTGCGAATATAACAAATCCTCTTTGCAATGGTTGTCGTCTTCTGATGTGTTGGCTATGTCATACCCGAATAATAATAAAACCTATATTTTAAAACACTGCTATACCTGGTAAGTCTGACAGTGGCACTCCTGTGCCTGCAAAATGCTTGAACTCCCACGTACATGGCTTCACCTGGCAGACTGTCACCCCCCGGCTGCCCTGTGTCACACGCCGCACAGAAAGTGGTGACAATGTCTGCACATCCCCCACGCCTTGTTGTGGGCTCTGCTCCCTCTATTCATGGGTTCACAGAACCTGTCTTATCACTGCCTCATTAGCTCCCTCCTTGGACTTCATTCATTCATTCATTCATCCATTGCTTCAAAACACACATTTTGAACATGCTGTGCCAGCATCATGCTGGGCACTGGGAATGTGATGGTGGATGAGACACCTGTTCTTTGCCTTATTTGATTTTTCCCTGGAGCCCCACTGGCCACTTTCATTAGCTGAGAAATGCTGTCCCTGAGCTGAAGTAATTCCCAGCATTGTTTTGTCTGCGGAAAGGTACTGAACACAGTTGGACTCTATTTCTCCTCTGTCTCTACCTGCTTTCCTGGGGCTATACCAGCGTTCCCTGTAATCCCCAGTATCGGGCTCCAAACAGAGGTTGGCACTCCTGGTTATGTCCTTCGTTTGCAAATCTGGCCTGGAAAACAGACCTGTAGCATTAATAGCAATCATAGGCCTGTTTATATTTCTCACACTGACACTAGTTTGTGAACCCGCGGACGTGTACATGGCTGCCTCAGTTTACAAAAACCAGTTAAACAGAGATAAGAATTCCTATTTTCCATCAACATTATCAGAATGTTAGGGAGATTAGGATGAAAATATATGTGAAAAGCATTATTCGTTTGGAATTTACAGAAAATGCTAGAATTTTGTTTTTAAGCTGTCGATGATTTTCACTTTGAAAAATATTTTAATGGCATGAATGAGCTAAGAACATTTTACTGGACATCTCTGTAGATCCTCGGGACACAGTTTAGATGTGCAGCTTCTCACGTCTCTGAGCAGATGTAGTACATGGTGTTTTCAAATACAGACAGAAAGGACAAAAGAGAAATTTGCAACTTCAGTGACTGGGCTACATGCCGAGACCACAGAGTAGATGTTTAAGAGCTCAGGCTCTGGAGTTAGAAAGACTCGTATTTGAGTCTTGCTCCACTACTAACCAGTGTCCTCGAGAGAGGTTATTTAATTTCACTAAGCTTCATTTTCCATGTCTGTAAAATGGAAAAGGCGCCTGCTTCATAACGCAGCTGTGAATATGAAATAATACATAGAAAATATGTAACGCAGTGACTGGCTAATTGTATGCACTCACAAATATAACAAATTCCTCCACTTGTTTAAAAAATATTAATCACTCACTATGACCAGACGATGTGAAGTGGGGTGCTGCCATACGGCAATGACAAAAAGTTAATAAATGACGTAGCAATGGTTTACCCCATGGGCAGCCGGCAGCTAGTGAATTGGCATCGCGGGGTGGAAAGAGGGAGGCCCAGGTGGCGAAATATTTGGTAAAATCATAACCTGCATTGATTTGACCCTTTGGCTATAAGGCAGAGGATTGGAAAACAAATTGTTTATAGTGTGTGTTGGTTGTTATTAGTGCTTTAGAAAGTTATTAGAGGAAATAGAGAAGCTCAGGGCAGGATTTGCTGGTTTGCAAGCAGATCTGAAAAAGAACAGATAGACCAGGAATTTTAGAATTTCAAAGGGCTGCAAAAGAGGATTGTGCCTGGAGCCCAACAATAAAAAGTAAGTTTGAAATGTACTTTAAGTGA